AAGCCCCCAGGGACTGGTCTCCAGCAGACTCCTTAGTGCTCTCCTGCCATTCCTCTTTATTCACGCTTGATTTGCATATTGTAAACTTTGTTCTATAGTTTTCTCAGTTTCATAGTCACATGATATGAAGGGTCAGATGACTGTACCCCTGTAATTCCTTGAAGAAGCTGTCCCTACCCACTGCTCCTCTTCCCACTTGTCAGCTTCTCCCGGCACTGACTCCAGTCCTATAAATAACATTTTATAACACTTCATTCTTGATTTCTCAGATGAAGGCGGGTGTGCTCTGGAAACTCTTTGAGTTTGTTCTCTGAAGATTCATATGGAGGAGACTTTGTCTCCAGAGTGGTGGGGCTGGGAGGCGGGGGGCTTTTAATAGGTGAGGCGTGGTAGACGGTGAGCGGATCCTGGGATTGTTCTTTATAAGGGGTTGGTGCAGCTCTCATGGGGCCTGGGACTAGTGCTCCAGATTGGTTGAGTGTAGCCTAGTAGCTCATGCCCATAACCGCAGGACTCAGGAGGCAGAGGCAGGAGGCCCACTTTAAGTTCAAGGCTAGCCTGGCTCACATAGTGACTTTCTACAATTCAGACCTTGTCTCATAAAACAAAAATAAGAGAGAATGACTCCTGAGTTACTTGGGCTTCCTGTTTTGCCATGTGACCTCTCCCTTCTGCACACACTGCCACCATCCACCCATGCAGAGATTCAGCTAAGGAGCTCTCTCTTACCAGAGGCCAAACAGTTGGGGTCATTTGAGTAGATGAACTTCTATTCTCCAAAACTGTGAGCTAAATAAGCTTTTTGTTATAGGTACCCAACTTCAGAGATTTTGTGGTAGCCACAGAAACAGATAAAGACAATGACATTGAGAACTTTTAGACTCCCATGTAGGACTTAGCTTCGTCTCTCACCCTTAGCATACCTGCCTATTTTCTACTTTCTTATTTTTATAGGACAATAAAGGCACAATATTGGTTAGCTCAACATTTAGTTCTTATGTCATCTTGGCTGGGCCACACCAAATATTAAAGGAATGAAACCTGGTGTCTTCTTTGATGTTGTTTTACTGTTGTTAGCTTTCACTGCAATGCCTTCAGTATCTAAAACATTAAAATTATTGTAATTTAGGGGCTGGGGAGATGGCTCAGCAGGTAGGAACACTGTTGCTCTTGCAGAGGAACCAGAGTTAAGTTTCTAGCACCCACGTTGGATCCAATGCCCTTTTCCCCACAGCCCGGGGATAGCTCCATTCTGCACCGCTGCTCCCCAGGTCTGTACAACGGTTGTTTTCCTGGGGTCTCCCCTCATCCTCTCAGGAGCTTCTTCTTTCTTTCTTTCTTTCTACTGCTTATTTTCTGTATACATTTAGGTATGTAGGTGGAAAGTGGTTTTCACAGAAGTTCTGAATGCATTGGTTTCATTTTCTCTTTGCTTTCAACATCATAGTTCAGAAGTCTGAGTCTAGGTGCTTTGGATAAAACTCTTCCTCTCTTTAGAGCGTTTTGAGATCAAGTTTGTCTCTAATGTCACAATGATACACTTTGGCTTGGTCTGGTTTTACCTGCTTCTCAGGGCTTTTGGTAGCTTCCCCTAGTCTAGTGACTTCAGTTCTGGAGTTTCTCTTCATCTACTCTATGGACGACACATTCCTGTCCACTTTCTGTTCTCTTTGCCAGAGGTTCTGCTACTCCAAGGCTGGGCCTCCTGGACCTCATTTCCCTTCTTCTGATTTTACAATTGTTTCTTTACTCTTCTTTCTGGGAAGTTTTGTCAACTATCTTTGCCACATTTCCAGTGTAGATTCAGTAACTGCTACACATCTTAATTTTCTGGAAATCTCTTCACGATCCATCCTCTGTTCCTTCAACACAGTATTTACTTCATCTCTCAGACTGCAGCTCCTCCTAGTACAGTCCCAGCTCTTCTGGGCTACGCTGTTTTATATGTTTTCCTCAAGGATCTAGCTGTTTGCTCATCTTTAGACATGAGGTAGCCAAGTTCCAGCACTTAGAATGCTGATGCAAAAGGATCACAAGTTCAAGGCCAGGGTGGACTGTATACTGAGACCTTGTCAATATACATATTTACACATAGATACACATATATGTGTAAACACACATACACACATGCATATACATACACACATGCATATGTGTGTGTATGTGTGTGGGGACATGGGATATCATGTAAAATTTTTCTGTGAGTCTCATCATAGGTAGACAGGTTTGGCTTTGCTCAGTCATGGTTTCTGTAGGGTAAAACTGCCAGAATTCCAGATGTCAGGGAAAGAAGAAAGCTGGGGATCTCAATTCCATGTGATCTCTTAATACCCATCTTTAGTATTAGACCCCTGACCTCAGAGCCCGTCCTCACCTCCATCCCTTCTGGGATGAAGGCTCTGTCTCTCTATGAGGTTCCGGTGATGGGGGCTTCCTGTCTTTCAGGTACCCTTCATGCTTTCAGTATCGCTCTTTCTCCTCCACCCAGAGTCACCTGTTGATGCCAGGTATGTGGGGTATGTGGGGCTCTGTGGTACCAACCAGCTCTCCTTTCTCTCGTCACTCCAGTTTAGGATTAAACTGTCTCAGGTCTGGTCACTATGTGCTCGTCCACCCCAAGTTCCAATGTTGTGCTGCTTTTGTCCTTCCTCTTTTCTTAGACTGTGTTTATTCTGCTATTACTTTAGGGGGACTTGGAGGGAAAATAAAGGTGTTCAACTTGCTATTTTAACCAAGAACAAATCACTGTTCATTGTGTGCTAACGCATCTGTCTTACAAATCAAATGCTGAAGATCTCACGAGTACATTTCAATAAACATCTACAGAATTGGCAATATTAAAAGAGACTGGAAGTTAGGCCTGGTGGCTTATGCCTGTTACTGCAACACTTGATAGGCTGACGTATGAGGATTGTCACAAGTTGGGGTCTAGCCTGGGTAACAGAGTGAATTCAGGCCACTATGGGTCACAGAGTGAAATGCTGTCTACTCAGGGGAAGGGGAGGAGGGAATTCCTTGATTATGGTTTCCTAGATAAGTAAATAACTGTATATTGTCACTCAAGGAGAGAAAATACAGTCTTTTTTGGTCTGGTGACAACTCCAGGTCACAAGAGCATGTGGTCATCTGATTATTCTATCTTGCATAAAATCTCAATGACAATTCATTCAGCAAACCCCAGGCAACCTATCACCTTAGAACTAAGGAATTAAATGGGCTTTGGGAGCTCTTGAGGTTGATCTTTCCCTCCAGCTGGCTGTTACGTAACCAAGGAGAGTTCCACATGTAGGATGAGTTTATCATACCTTTGAAAAGTCAGGGGACATCAGGTTTTCAACTCGGTACAAGGGAAGGTAGGACCCAGACATATGGCAAAGCTGTCCACCTAGAACCTTAGATACTGATGACCAGCCATTCTCAGAGGACCTGGGCCAGCTCTTGTATCTCTGCCCTTCTTTTCTGGTCAACAGTCAGGTGACCAATAGAGTTCACAGACCAAACTGAGGAGAGCTCAGTGCCTGAACCCTCATCAGGCGATCTTTCAGAGCTCCAGACCTCCTCACACAGGCAGGACTTGCACTTAGATTTCCTATACTATCAGCTTTCTTGCTACTGTGAGAGATGACAACCTCAAATTAGGCTAATGTTCAAGAAGTAAGAGATACTAACTTTATAAAAACCAACCTCTTTGGTACTGGCAAGATGGCACAGCAGGTGAAGTCTCCTCCTGCCATGTCTGACAACCTGAGTTCAATCCCTAGGACTCTTAGAGACAACCAGCTCCCAAAAGTTGTTCTTGGACTGCCACACTCAAGTCATCACACACACACACTAAATAAGATGCAATAAAAACTTTAAAGACTTTTTGGGAAAGTCTCTAAAGGACAAATTTTCCAGCACACAGCAGTGAAATGGTGAAGGCAGCATAGCCAGCACAAACCTATCCAGTCTTAATAATGACCACATTCATCAGCGTGGCAGAATGGGTTCCAGCTCTTCCTTCTACTGAGAAAATCTGCTGTTGGGCTGCAGAGATGGCTCAGTGGTTTAGAGCACTTGCTCCTCTTTCAGAGGATCTGAGATAGGTTCCTGGTACCCAGGGTGGTGACTCACAACTGCCTATATATCCAGCTCCCAGGAATGTGACACCTTTTTCTGGCTTCTGAGGTCACCATGTGGCATTCACATACATACTTAAATAATAAACATCAAAAATTTGCTGTAGTAGAGCAGATTTCAGACAGTGCATCATTTTCACCTGCAAATACTCAAATGCAATCTCTAACTGTTCAGAATATTCTTTTTATTTGAATTTATATAAAATACAATAATATTATTGTCTCTAAAGTAACTCATTAATATCATCTAATACCCTGGCCTATTTTTAAATTTCCCACACTATCTGAAAAACACCTTTTCATCAAAGGTTAAATAAAGAACAAACACTTCGTGCGTTTGACTCATTTATCTTCTAGGTTTCTTGTTTGGTTGTTGAAAATTGTGTGTGTGTATGTGCGCGTGCATGTGTGTGTGTGTATACATTAGGCATCATTTCAGAAAAGTGTCCGAACAGTTTACTCCAGTTGGTGGTAGTGAGCAATATAAGGGTTTTCTGCTTTGGTAGGTAAAACCCTAACACCCAACTCTTCTGCTCATCTCTCTGCTTCCACATCCCTCCTGTTTCGAAATCTTTCTTTTAGTCCTGCTACCAGGGATTTGCCTTCTCTTCTATTTCTTTTCCCTTCATGCTCAGCTGCTTTGAGCTGAATGGCTGCCATGTACTAGATGTACTATAAACTCGAACCCACAGAATACTCACCATTTCATAGAGGTGAAGCCCCAGAGAATTCAGGGAGCTGCTGCAGGCCACTGGGCCCCCAAAACCAGACTTTTGCCAGTGTCTCACTACTCTGGAAAGCAAGCACTGACCACCAGGTAGCATAATGGAGGTAGACGTCCATGCCAAGAGGTCCCTGCTATATTTATAGCTAGACCAGTACCTGCTCCATGAAATCCCCCGCAGACATAGAGTTTCCCATCCACTGCACCCGCGTTGGTGGAATTGGTTCGCAGTGAGAGGAGGGGACTTGGCATAGGTGGGCCTTCCCGCCAGAAGTCCCCATCAGGGTTGTAGATCTCCACCACATCAAGGCATTTCCGAACTTGTCCCCTGTCTCGGCCCACACAGCCAATTCCACCTAAGAGAATGAAGCACAGAAATGGGGGTGTTTGGGAGCAGAAGCCTTACAGTGGACATCCTCCCTTCCTAGCACAGTTGGCAGCATCGGCTCACTGGCCTTTTCTTTGGCACCTATTTCAAAGGTAATTTCTGTGACAGCAATGCCTTTCAAGTGTTTCACAGACAAACTTAATGTCACTGTGTCACTGCAATGCAGTATTTCCCGTTACTTAGACATAAGAATCATTCGGAAAAAGAAAAAAAAAAAAGAATCATTCGGAGTAGACCCTGCAATGTCATTTGCACAGTAAGAATATTGGTTGTTAGCAATGATTTCATGGATGTAGCTATCAAGGACTATCTTTTCCATGCCTCATCACTGCAGACTGCCCTCTTGTCTTCATGCTTTTCCATTTGAAGAGAGAAGGGCTCTTCAGCAAATTTCAGGTTTGAGAGTAAAGGAAGACTGGAAGAACTGGGAGATGAAATGCCCAGCCAGGTCTCTCCCTTACTGGACACCATAGTTTGTTCAGCAGATGCTCACGAAATGTTCACTCTTGGCAAGATAATGGTATGTGACAGCTCAAAAAGATGGATAATCTGTGCCCCCACCAACTCTTTAGAAATTAACGGAGCGAAGGAAGGGCACGGTGGTGCATGCTTTTAATCCCAGCACTGGGGAGGCAGAGGCCAGCGTAGGTAGTTGACATAGCAAGTTCCAGGCCAGCCAGGGCTACACAGTGAGACAGCCTCCAAACAGCAAGAAGTTAACAGAGTGGAAGGGGCCATACATGTAAACAGATTAAACAGTAAGGCAAGAATCTCAAGGGTTGCTTCAGAGGTTCAGGGATGGAAACAGGGAGCAGACATAATACATACAGAATTAGGATTTTAAGCCCAATTGTGTAAGATTTTCCAACCCATTGTGACCAGAAACATCAATCTGCTGCATGCATCTCGTTTTTATTCTCTCCTCCTGTGGTGAATTGAATGAGATGCCCCCCAGAGTCTTGAGGTTTAGAATGCTTCATCCCTGGTTGGTGTTGTTGTTGGGGGAAGTTTAGGAGGTGTGGTCTTGCTGGAGGAAGAATGTCATGGGGGGCACGTCACTAGGGGTGGGCTTTGAGAGTTCAAAGACCTGTGCCATTCCTCAGCTTTGCTCTCAGCTTCCTGTTCACAGTTTGAGATGTAAGCTCTTAGCTTACTGCCCCAGCTGCCACGCCAGCCTGCTTTCCCTCCGTGGCAATGGACTCTTATCTCTCTGGAATGGTAAGCCAAAACAAACCCCTCCTTCTGTCCTTCTGTATCATGCCTTGGTTATGGTATTTTATCGTGGCAATAGAAAGTTAACTAAGATACCTCCTAAGTCCCAAGACAAAAGGTTTTAAAGTGTGAGGGTCATGGTTTCTGACCTACAGGGCAGCTCCTGAGATCGAGGCAGATTCCCTGGAAGAAGGGACAGTCTTGTATTTGCAATTGTTCTCATCACTACCCTGTTCTATTTAGACCCACTGATGATATTTGTAAGCTATAAAAGGACTGCAAAGTGTTGGCCATGGCTACACCAGCTCTCAGGGAGGATGTTCCTGGAAGGGCCACTGATATGTGGGGTGGTGAGTGCTGTTGAGGCACAGTGCTTATCACAAACTCAAAACTAAGAAATACTCATGGCCTTTATGGTAGACTCCACGTTCTGAGAAGCTGGTCGTACAGCCTCCTCTCTTCTTCACTGCTACTTAGACTCTGCCCTTCGCTGACTCAGTCAGGCAGCGTCTTCGCCATCACCTCTGACCCCACCTTCAGCACCTCCAACAGATCCTGATATGTCATCGGCCTGGAACGAATGAATGAGTAAGACATGTTCCGCCCCCATGTTCTCTCTGCCACTCTTTCCACACTGTACTCCTTGTCTGTCCAGGTCTGGGTACTGTAAGCTCATGGAGGGCAAAGGTCGCATCCTCATGACAGTGCCTGCCATACAGTCTCGATGGATTCAGGGATGAGAGCTGTGTGTTTCTCCATAAATGGGTCTTCACCCAGATTCTGAAGGTGATAAAAGACTGGAGGGGTCTCTCGCTCTTTGGTGAGGTCACTTGGTCAGTTCTCGCAGCATGAACCCAGAGACTGAGGATATGAGCTCAGGAAGCCCTTAGCTGTCTTCTCTCTTATCTGCCTAGACACATAATTTAGCCCACTATGAAGCCAAGTCTGAGCTGCTGTGTTTTGAAGGAGGGGACACATTGGCCTCAGCACAACTCCGTGTTCACGGACAGGCCCACTTTCAGTGTGGCACTGCAGTAGCGGGAAACTTCCTAGTGGTAGGAAAAATGGAACTTCCTACTATTGGACAAGAGGTCATGCAGATTTATCTGTGGCAGCAGAGCTCTGCAAGGTAAAAAGATGATGAGCCCTCCTGTGAGAGGCAGGAGACATGCTTTGGCGTTGGTTTGTGTTGCAACCATGTTAGAACAGTAAGTGAAGCAAACAGTCTAGAGAAGTCACGAGGAGCTGGTTTGTGGCATCCAGTGCACCAGCATCTTGAGTCTAACTCCACATTGTGGGTATCACTCTTGATTGTCTGAGATAATGAGAGTGCTTGTCACCTTTGCTCTGCTACCATGTACATTTAATTTCTACATTCAAAACTAGCCTTGTGAAACATGTCCATTCTCTCTGGTGAACAGATAGCTAACATGCTCTGTCCCACCCCTGGGTGACCTCCTCCCACTCCTGGGTGACCCGAGCTTACTATGTGCTCTGTATCTGTCCTGGCTGTGAAGCTTGAACTCAGTCTCTGTGTCACGGAGTATAATTTCACCTCAAGCACACTCCATTAGCAACAGGCTTAATGAGCTGAGACTGAAGGTGAATCTTGATTAGATAAATAATCAAATAAAGGCCTGATCTTTATTAATAAGTCAGCACTGGCTCTACACGCACAGCCTTTGATGAGAGGAAGCCTAGGGTGTGATCTGCAGCTGCAGAATGTCAATAAGTCAGCTCAGTGGCTTTAATCTATGTGCTTCCAGAATTTCTGAGCACGATGTTCCCTCACTCAAAACCAAGCAAATGAACAGAAATTACCTTCATAGATCATGCCCAAATGCACCCCACATGCAAAATATATACCTAGATTATTTGGGCGTGGGAGGGGGAAGAAAATTACAACTTGCCACTCTTTCTTCATTTTATTCCCACAAAGATAAAGATTCCTTCTTCTGATGTTAGGCTATGATAGGTTCTTTCATTTCTGGAGGTGTGTGGGAGTCAGCTTGTCCTCCCACAGAAAGCCTGGCAGACAGCTGGCTGAAGGCACAGGGACTTGCCATCCAGTTGCCCTGAATACAGCCCATACCCTTCCCCTACAGGGCAGCCTCAAGGTGGCAGGCTTATTCTATCCTACTCTGGGTTCCATCCAAAGCAGGGGAAGGATTTCATTAACATTTATGTATGACAAACGCCCAAAGTTGCTTGCATTGCTAAACCAGGCTTAGGGGTGGGGCACTGACTGTGGGGGTGGGGTGGGGGGCATCCACTTGCCATGGTGAAGGCATGTGGACCTTTAGAAACAGATCCTGGTTCACATTCTTGTGTCACTACTTGATAGCCAAAGGCAGTTGATTGATTTAATTCTTCTAAGCCTCAATCACTCTCACCTGTAAACCAAAGATAATAATGCCAATTTCATAAAGTGTGGCAAGGATCAAACTGTTTAGATAATGACCAAGAAAAGGAGAAAACCAGGAGGAACTCAGGGCATTCATGGGTATCACCAAGGAAATTTTCTTTTATGGATTTCCTCTTGTATACTGCATCTAAGCAACATGGCACACATACAGCTGGTGCTCAGATGACGATTATTTTCTGTCATGTTCTATGGGGTTTTAAGTACACCAGTATTTTCTGAAATTGCTGAGATCTTCTGATTACCCTCAGTTGAATTTTTATGTGTACAATTGTTGGTTTCTTGATGTAGGGTCAAATGTTCTTAGACATTTCTTTTGAACCTGGGTAGAGGTAATAAGGTTAAGACAACCAAAGGCTGTGGTAGTGCATGTTTGTAATTGCATGCTCATAATCCCTACACTTGGGAAACTTGTAGTAAATAGGGGCGGCGGGGCTGCGTTCCCAGTACCCCGGCCGCCTGCTCGGCTAGCTTATCCCCCGAAATAACAACACACAAACTGTATTCATTTAAACACTGCTTGGCCCATTCTCTTCTAGGCTAATTCTCACATATTAATTTAGCCCATTTCTAATCATCTGTGTGTAGCACCCCAAGGTGCGCTTACCGGGAAGATTCTAGCCTATGTCCATCCTGGGTCGGAGCTTCATCCCGGGAGCAGGGCATGGCGTCTCTCTCAGGCGTCTGCTCCCGAGAGGAGAGCTGTCGAGTCTGAGCTCACTTCCTCTTCCTCCCAGCGTTCTGTTCTGTTTACTCCTCCCACCTATCCTCTAACCAATAAAATGGGCCAAGGCAGTTCCTTTATTAGCCAATGACCTTCCTCCATCAGAAACTGAGCAAGAGGATTGCCATGAGTTTGAGCCTAGCCTGGGCTACATAGTAAGTATGAGGACAACCCAGACTACTTAGTGACTACCAATCCAGCCAGGGATACAGGGTAAGACTTCTCAAAAAGCCAAAACCCATCAGGCATCAGATGCTCTCTCTGGCAACACAGAGCCACTTACCAGCCATAAGCATCTGAGTTGTAAGAACTGTGGGGAAGAACATTCTAGAAATCTTGAGTTTCTTGGAGTAAAAGTGGCCCATCTCTTGAGCTGCCAGGCTTCTTTCTGGCCCACAGGGGACCTCAGCCCCCGCCCACTAATGGGATGCTTTGATAATTTGCTCCATTCTCATGCAACTTGCTAGTTCTCTAGCTCCCACTCCATAGTTAATTTAAAATTCTAGATTTCAAGCCTAAAATCTTAAAAAAAAAAAGCATCTTGTCACTTTCTAAAGCCTAACACAGGGACTCTTGGGTGTTTTTAGTAAAAAAAGTTCTTACTTCCTCT